AGGTCATGATCTCAGGGTCCTGGGATCGAGTCCCGCATTGGGCTCTCTGCTTGGCAGGGAGCCTGCTTCCTCCTCTCTCTCTCTCTCTGCCTGCCTCTCTGCCTGCTTGGTCTCTCTCTGTCAAGTAAATAAATAAAATCTTTAAAAAAAGAAAAAAAGAAAGTATTAGATCAGCAATTATTAAAACTTAGTATCAGGTCTCATATTAGAAGGTATATTGAGTTAAAATATTTTTTTAACCATTAAATTTTCTAAATCTGTTTTATGTATTAAGAGAGCAGAGATAAAGACTTTATATATAAAGATCTGTTATATATCAGTTGGTTAAGTGTCTGCCTTTGGCTCAGGGCATGATGTCCTGGGATTGACTCTTGCATTGGGCTCACTGCTCAGCAGGGCGTTTGTTTCTCCTTCTACCCCTTCCCCCTGCTCACAGACTCTCTTTCATATTTTCTCTCTCTCTCAAATAAACTAAGTAAAATCTTTAAATAAATAAATGCCTACAAAGTCTAACATTTCCTGAAGACTAAGTATGTTGTCTTCTCTGTAACAAGGACTCACCATGTCTTGCTCTTTGCTTTGGCTTCCAGGAAGTTGAGATCCATATTTTCTGTTTCTAAAGCTTCTCTGTAGTCTCTTAGAGACTTCACATCTGTATTCTGTCCCTAACCCTCCACTACATACATGTAATCATGTACATTATTTTCTTGACCTCTTTTATCTCCCCTTCCCCCTTGGTTCTGGCTTCTTCTTCATTGTTATTTTGCCATTTTTATTGCATATGATCTTATCATCAGACACCTCAAATGCTCTGTGAAACAAAATAGGACAGTTGTAATAAGCTTCTGTCTGGTCTTATCTTCTGGGCTCCATTATTGTCTCTTCCAGTTCACTGAGTAAAGCCCTTTGATAGATTCATATTGTGGAGAATATTAAATGCAGCTTTCTTCATTCTGAGATCTAAAGACAGTATTGTCTATTCTGTATGGCCTGATGCCCCACTATTATACATGGACCCCGTTTTCCAGTTCTGCTAGAGGTCTTGCTGTTTCTTAAACATTCTAGGACTGTTTTCTTCCTTTTTGCTTAGAGAGAGAATGACCTCTCTCTTTCCCATCCCTGCCAAAGAACTATTCATTACTCAAGGACTTTCTAGAAAGCTTTCTTTGCTCACTGTATATCTAGCGAGAGCCATGGCCACTCTGCTTTTCTTCTGAGAGAGATCTGAGTCTGTTGCGCTGCCAGCTGTCCCATTATACCTTTCTTATCAGTTTGTCCTTTCTCATACAGTAGCTATAATTGGTCCTTCCTTAGAACCATCTGTGGGCTTTTGGGTCTCTTAGATGACACTTAAGGTAGAGTATCTCGCATTTCTTATTTGTGTATCAGCTCACCTCACTGATGAGAGTACAAACTTCTTGCGGGCAGGAATTGCTCTTCGTCATCTTTGTATTGCTGACCGTGTCTCTGGGCCAGACTTTGGTGTATCATGGATGATAAGTAGTTTATAAATTAGAGATTATAGTTTATGATTATAGTTTAAGATGATAGATTTATAGTTTAAAGATTATAGTTTAACTTTAATCTATAATCTAGAGATTATAGAGATTACAGTTCAAAATGAAACTGTAGGGGCACCTGGTGGCTCAGTGGGTTAAAGCCTCTGCCTTCTGCTCAGGTCATGATCCCAGGGTCCTGAGATCGAGCCCCACGTTGGGCTCTCTGCTCGGTGGGGAGCCTGCTTCTTCCTCTCTCTCTACCTGCCTCTCTGCCTACTTGTGATCTGTCTGTCAAATAAATAAAATCTTTAAAAAAAATTATCATATTTACTGATTCCAAATTTCAGAAATAGATTGTTAGTGAAAAAGATGCAGAACAGTGTGTACAGTTAATCACCATTTTGGTAATTAAGGGAGAAAAAGGAATGCTTATGCCTTTTTACTTAAATATGCATAAAATATCTCTGGAGGGATACGTGGGAAAAGTGATAACACATGCATGCTTTAGGGAAGGTAAACCGGTGATTTGAAAGGGAGACTTTATTTTTTATTTTTTAAAAGATTTTATTTATTTATATGACAGACAGAGACATAGCGAGAAAGGGAACACAAGCAAGGGGAGTGGGAGAGGGAGAAGCAGGCTTCCTGCTGAGTGGGGAGCCCAATGTGGGGCTTGATCCCAGGGCCCTAGGATCATGACCTGACCTGAAGGCAGATGCTTGATGACTGAACCACCCAGGTGCCCTTGAAAGGGAGCCTTTAATCCCTTTTGTATACCCTTTGAACTTTGACAAGCAATGTATATTTGCTGGTAAAAATAAATCCAATGTGGGGCATCTGACTGGCTTAGTTGGTAGAACATGCAACTCCTGATCTCAGGGTTGTGAGTTTGAGCCCATGTTTACTTAAAAAGGTGGGGGTTTAGAGTTTACTTTAAAAATTTTTTTGAAAATATATTAAATGAAAACAAAAGCTTGAAAATATAAATATGGAAAATATTACTGATTTACTAAGATGCTGCATGTACCATCTGTAATTGGTAACCCTGAGCTCTATCAGTATCACTCTGTCTGTTTTCCCTCAATTTATACAGGTGTCTTTAATACATCTACTGGAAGTCATTCGGGTCAGAATTCAGGTACTCTTAATGGTGGAGATGTCATCAATCTTAGACCCAACAAACAGAGGACCAAGAAAAACAGAAATCCTTTTAGCAGCTGTAGCATACCCTAAAACACTTTAGGGAGGAAAAAAAGTTGAATTATATTGTGCAATTCAGTAAGAAACACATCCAGCTGTCATGGTATGTTACAAGATTTTTTTTTTTAGCAGACTTTGCACCTAATGGCTCTGTGAAAGTTGACAGACTTAAATATTGTTCTGCAGTGCTTTTCAGATGGAGCGAGATCTTTGATGGAAAAATTACTGCCTTGTGGACTCATTTTAATTCTTTTACATCAGACGAAGCTTCTCCTGTTTTTGAAGGAATGCTATAAGAAATGTCCCAAACAGGTTTTGCTGAATTTTAAGTGCTGGAAAACATAAGTGGAATGCCTGAATGTATTGGTACAGGATGTATTGTCCAGGAAAGATAGCAAGCATTGTATTTCCGAAATTGGTTATACAGCTTTTCTGGAAAGGGGTATTGAAGTCAAATACGTACAAAAAAATAATATTGAAAGGTAAATCCTAAGTCTTGCCAGACTGCATGAGTTTGTATTTTGGCAATGTTACTTGTGCAATATCTGTATGGCGTGGAATGTGGAGGTCTGCATGCAGATATCTGGTACTGAAGTATACTGAAGGGATATTCAGTATTTAAGGAAACCTAGAATCTAATTCGTTAATTCATACAATCATTTACACATTGTGTGTATGTTGAAAGCTTTTATTTTCAAATAAGAAATTCCAGACATATATTTTGCAAAATGAGCTCAGATTTTAAAAGTGCTTTGTGCCAAAAATATCATACCTAATTTTTACAGTGCTTTACTATCAGAATTTATATTGTTTATATCTTTAAAAAGCAGTTTTCCTCTCTGACAGGGTAGATAAAAGAGGAGTATAAATGTTTGAATGCTTAGAGTATCTCCCAGGTGAGACATGTTGCAAACTTTTTCCTGTGTGCACCCATGAGCAGTGGGGAGCTTGTGCTGGCCGCGCCCTTCTGAAGGTCAAGTGCCCCCTCGGTCATTCCTGGGGCCTGTGAAGTGTGCTGGTGCGTCTGGCACCTTTTGCTGCTGACTGAAAATGCAGTTTGGAACTTAAAAGATTATGCTAACAATTTTTTTAAATGAAGAAGGGAAGTTCTTTTGTCTTAATCTGCATTACGGATTTTCTAATGCCCTGCAACTCTAAAGCATCTTTTCATTTATACATTTTTGTATGGTATTTTAAGATTATCACTTAAAAATTTCTATAAACTTCAGTTTATATAGCCCCTTCGCAAGAGTTCTGTCAGTACCGAATGCAAAATAATTTCTTTTAAGAACTGATTTTCATATGTCATCATGTGGCAGAGCATACATTTTTTGACTTGGGACGGTAGCTTTCCAACTAAGATAATTAATTGCATGAACTCTGCTAATAAGTGATTATCATTCATCAGTGACTTTGTTTTTAACCCCTTGTGATATATCTGGTTTTTATAGGATTTCAAGACATGTAAAAATAACTTTTCTTGGAAAATGTGTCATGAAAGTCGTTTTTCGTTATTTGTACTAAATGCATAATGTTGTATGTATTTCCTCTTTGTGTTTTCTCTGTCTCTCTCTTTTTAAGTCTTCCATCTGTACCATCCCCATCTCTCTGTCCAGGTTAATGTTGAGAAGATAATAGAATTTCCTGGTGCATGTCCTTGCTAAATGGTCAAGAATGAATATTTGCTCTTCATAATATTGAAATAATCTGGCATCTATCTACTCTAAAGTAATGTAAAATGTTAGTTTTTGTCATCATTGTCTCCACTCCCATTGCTGGCAGTGGGATAGGTGTTGGGGGGGTACAACTCCATTCCTAACAATGGGTACCTGTTAATGATTCCTCTTTCCTGTTCTGCTCTGTTCAAATACAGTCTCTTTAATTTTTGCACAAAACATATTTCGTGGTAAATCATTTTGTGGTCTTTAGTAGCCCCCCCGAAAATCATGTAATATGTTGTAGTTCTGTTTCATATTAATTAAATGTGTGTGGGGAAAAGATTGTTACTTTTCTATATGAAAAAGATAATCACTGTTGATGGTAGAAGTTTCCTGATATTTGTAATATAATTGTATGTATTTAGTTTTGTCCTTTTTTCTTTTTATAGGAACCGAAGAGAGATCTTTTTTTACACATTTGAATTTTTATTTGCACTTGTGTATTTTAAGCCTAACCATAATTGGTCATTTTACATAACTAAGTAGGTCTGAAAATCAGTCACAAGTGATATGTTAAATACTTTCTCAATTTAATTCTAAAACCTCCAACATTCACATTAAATGGCCTCCCCAAACCCTTAATTCTTTTAAATGACCTTGCTGTTAGTTTGTAATGAATAATGGATACTAAAGAAAACACTGTGGAAGACGACGGGATGTTGTTTGTGCTCTTCTGTACTTTTGTACAAGCTGGCTGGTTTTTAGTATACAGACAGAGAGCTGTGGAATAACTGCCGAATTGCAGGGTTCCTCAGCCTTCCTTTCCTCTCAGTCGGCCCAGTGAATTACATAGCTTAGAGTAGCCCAGATAAGGCAATATACGGTTGACCCTTGAACAAGGCCAATTTGAACCATGTAGGTCCACTTACATGCGGATTTTTTACAGTACTGAAAATGTATTTTCTCTTCCTTATGGTTTTCTTAACATTTTCTTTTCTCTGGCTTACTTTATAATAATACGGTATATAATACAGACAATGTACAAAATATTTGTTAGTGGACAGCTATGTCATCAGTCACCCATAGGCTATTTGTAGTTCAGTTTTGGGTGAGTCAAAAGTTATACTTGTATTTTCCACTGTGCAGGGGTCGGTGCCCCTAATCCCTGTGTTGTTCAAGGATCAACTATATTTTATCTTAATTAGTGCCATGAGATGAAATGTGTTGCCTTTAATTTAGTACCTATTATCAGGTGGGAACTATACAGGGTACCTTGCAAACATTAATTTAATCTTTACAACAATGGGTGAGTATTGTTATTCCCTCCCTTTTTTTCAAAAGAGAGGAGAATGAAGAGCTAAGTTTGTCAAAGTCACATATTCAATAGCAACAAAGAAATTTTCTTTCCCATTTTGTAACTATTATGTTTATATAGCCCAGACATAAAAAGATGTGCTATCTTCCATTATACTTTACAGTCTAATATATATGAGTGAATTTGATACTGCTTTATATATGCAGTTATATTTTATGGAGGAATTAACTACTGCTAAGAACATTTTAAGCTTATAAATGTTCTATTATAATATTGATTTCTTGATGCATTGTTTTAAAGACAATTAAAATAATAAAGAATAACTATTTTTCAATCAAAGTCTAATTTCTCATATGAAATTATGGGGAGGGAAGTATCCTAAAAGACTGATTTAATCATATTTTAGTATATATTTGGTAGTTTTGTCCTAAAAATTAAATAATTAAAAATGTGAAGAAAAGCTTTTGGGTTGGGATTATGTACATAAAGAAAAAAATAGGTTAACCGCTATCAAGTACATTATAAAAGGCTATGTAAAGGGAATCCTGGCCAGCCATTTTTCATCAAAGTAAAAGACCAAAGTTGAAGGATTTGGCTTGGTTATTTTGATTATTAAATACTGCAATCATTTTAATGAAGTAAGTTAAGCAATTTCCATAAATGAAAATGTTAAGTAAAAAAAGTAGGGGCGCCTGGTTGGCTTACTTGGTGGAGCGTGCAACTCTCAATATCGGGATTGTAAATTTGAGCCCCACATTGAGTGCAGAGATTACTTTAAAATCTTAAAAAAAAAAAAAAAAAAAGATTGTTATCCATGCTGAATGCCAACTTGGATGCAAAAGTTGTCATAAAAAGGTTTTTTATTTTCCTAATTCTTCTATCTCTTGGAATTCAGTTTTTCATATATTTAGGTGTTAGATTCACTTAAATATACATTTCTATTTTTTTTTTAAGATTTTTATTTATTTATCTGACAGAGATCACAAGTAGGCAGAGAGGCAGGCAGAGAGAGAGGAGGAAGCAGGCTCCCCGCTGAGCAGAGAGCCTGATTTGGGGCTCCATCCCAGGACTCTGGGATCATGACCTGAGCCGAAGGCAGAGGCTTTAACCCCATTGAGCCACCCAGGCAGGCGCCCTACATTTCTATTTTTTTTAATTGTTTAAGAGAAATCAAAGGCTGAGTTTGCTTTATTGTAGTATGGGTGACTCCTCTATAAGTCTTATATTCTGTCTTTGTGTTATTAAATGTGTATATATTTCATCTCTTCTAATTAAAATGTTACTCAAATTTTTCTACTTTCAAAATTATGAGAATACTTTGCTCTTCTATTAGACTGTAGGAAAAAAACAACATGTCATACCAATCTTGAAATTTCCTAGTATGGCTTTTATACAGGTTTATAAATTACATGAGTTAGAGCAGATTATAAACAAACACTTAAAATTTAAATGTGTGATACTTATTGCTGAGAGAAAGGAGATTTAAATGAATGGAGGTATTATGTACATGATTGGAAAACTCAGTATTGTTTTGTTGTCAGCTCTTTCTAAATTGATCTATAGATTCAGTACAATTCTAATCAAAATCCCAGCAGGTTTTTTTTTTTTGAAAAGTTTTAAGTTTATCTAAAAGCTATGTGATGAACCTAGGTTAGCCGGAACAGTTTTGAAAAAGAACAGAGTTGAAGAACTGAGACTCTGTGATTCTAAGACTCCATATCGGTACAGTTAACAAGACACACAGATCATTGAAACAGACTAGAATCCAGAAATACACCCATGCAAACATGGTCAAGTGATTTTTTTTTTTTAAGATTTTTATTTACTGGGGCGCCTGGGTGGCTCAGTGGGTTAAAGCCTCTCCCTTCGGCTCAGGTCATAATCCCAGGGTCCTGGGATCGAGCCCTGAGTCGGGCTCTCCGCTCGGCAGGGAGCCCGCTTCCCCCTCTCTCTCTGCCTGCCTCTCTGCCTACTTGTGGTCTCTGTTTGTCAAATAAATAAAATCTTTAAAAAGAAAAAGATTTTATTTATTTGACAGAGGGAACACAAGCAGGGGGAGTGGGAAAGGGAGAAGACTTCCCGCCGAGCAGGGAGCCTGATGCAGGGGCTAGGTCCCAGGACTCTGGGATTGTGACCTGAGCCAAAGGCAGACACTTAACTAACTGAGCCACCCAGGTGCCCCAGGTCAAGTGATTTTTAACAAAGACTTCATAACAGTTCTATGGGGAAAAGCACAGTGTGTTGGAATAACTAGATATTTTGAATCTCAGGCCTTACCTCATATTATCCTCAAAAAATAATTTGTGGTAGATTATTAACCTAATCAATAAAAGCTAAAACTAAAGCTTCTAGAAGAAAACAGGAAATATCTTCACGACCTTAGGTTAAGCAAGTATATCTTAGGACCCAGAAAGTGTTAATTGTAAAAGAAAAATTAATAAGTTGTACATAATAACAATTAAAACTTCTGCTCAACAAAAGACATGGTTAAGAAAATTAATGGATAAGCCATATATTGGGAGAATGTATTTGTATAATCCTATCTCACGAAGGACTTATAGCTGTGATATATAGTTTAAAGACTAACAAAGTAAAATATTTGTATAGATGTGGAGTAATGGGAACTCTGGTTCAATCACTTTGGAAACCTTGGCAATTTCTAGTAAAATTAAAGATGCATCATCTGTTTCACCCAGAAATTTCACTTCTGGGTATTTACCAAAGAGAAATAAAGTCTTATGTGTATGAAAAGAATTGTATAAGAATGTTCATAGCAGCTTTAAAATTGCCCCAAACTGTGCCTGGGTGGCTCAATCGGTTAAGCCTCTACCTTGGGCTCAGATGGGCTCCCTGATCAGCAGGTAGTCTTCTTCTCTCTCTGCCCCTCTTCCTGGCTCCTCCCCCCACTCCGCCCCGTGCTGTCACCACCCCCCAAATAAGTAAATAAAAATCTTTAAAAAATAAAATAAAGGGACGCCTGGGTGGCTCAGTTGGTTAAGGGGCTGCCTTTGGCTCAGGTCATGATCCCAGCGTCCTGGGATCGAGTCCCACATCGGGCTCCTTGCTTGGCAGGGAGCCTGCTTCTCCCTCTGCCTCTGCCTGCCTCTCTGTCTGCCTGTGCTCGCTCTCGCTTCTCTCTCTATGACAAATAAATAAATAAAATCTTTAAAAAAAATAAAATAAAATAAAATAAAAATAGCCCCAAACTGGAAACACCCCAAATATCTACCAACACATGAATTTTTTTTTTAAAGATTTTATTTATTTGCCAGAGATAGAGAGAGAGAGTACACACAAGCAGGCAGAGTGGCAGGCAGAGGCAGCGAGAGAAGCAGGCTCCCTGCTGAGCAAGGAGCCCTATGCGGGACTCGATCCCAGGACCTTGGGATCATGACCAGAGCTGAAGGCAGCGGCTTAACCAACTGAGCCACTCAGGCGTCCCATACCAACACATGAATATTTACGCAAATTATAGTATATTCATAAAACGAAATACTAATAATTAAAGGGAACAGATTTTTAAAAAAATTTTTTTAAGATTTATTTATTTATTTATTTAACAGAAAGAGAGATCACAAGTAGGCAGAGAGGCAAGCAGAGAGAGGGGGGGGGAAGCAGGCTCCCTACTGAGCAGAGAGCCCGACGTGGGGCTTGATCCCAGGACCCTGAGACCACGACCCAAGCCAAAGGCAGAATCTTTTTTTTTTTTTTTTTAAGATTTTTTTAAATTTATTTTGACAGAGAGATCACAAGCAGGCAGAGAGGCAGGCAGAGAGAGAAAGGAGGAAGCAGGCTCCCTGCTGAGCAGAGAGCCCAATGCAGGGCTCGATCCCAGGACTCTGAGATCATGACCTGAGCCGAAGGCAGCGGCTTAACCCACTGAGCCACCCAGGCGCCCCCCAAAGGCAGAATCTTAACCCACTGAGCCACCCAGGTGCCCCAAAAGGAACAGATTATTAATATATAAAACATGAGTCCCCAAAACTTAATTCTGAATGAAAGAAGTCTAACACAAAAGAGTATGTACTATATAATTTCATTTATATGAAGTTCTAGAGTAGGCAAATCTAAAACAATCAGAATAGTGGTTGCCTCTGGGAAAATGCATTGACAAGAAAAAGGCACAGAGAATATTCTTGGGCAAGGCAGATAGATCTTGATATGGGTATGTGGTAGACAGCTATGCATTTGCATATGTATGTGTACATACACAGCTATATGGGTATGTTAAAAAAACATTGAACTATACACTTAAGATCTGTATATTTCACTGTAAATTGTGCCTCAATAAAAATTAAATATGTTTTTATTATTAGATAATGAAGATTATTGGAAAAATCTTTTCTGGGAAATACTGCTTTAATGATGCTGCTTTAATGATTATATTTAAATTAATTATTATTCAGAACTACTTCTAAGAAGGGTGATGGCTTAAGCACTAGTATTTGGATATCCTTTATGGAAACTGACCAAATGGCCAATGGAATATAAAATCAAGGAACAACCTGAGTAGTAGATAGTCTCCAAAGATGGCCCCCAGATAGTTCTGCCTTTCCCTGTACCTGCATGCAGCTACTTCCATCAGGAGGGAGAGCTTATGACTCCTCTTGAATCTGATGTGGGCCTATAACTGCTACAGCTAATTGCAGAGAAGTAACATTCTGGGATCTCGGAACCCAGGCATTAATAAGCCTCTGCTTCCTCCTTCTGAAACCTAGTGGCCATTCTCTGAAGAAAGTTGACTCAAGTAGAAAGGCCCCTGTAGCAAAAGATATAGGGCCCCAGCTAGCAGTCCCAGCTGAGCTCCCATGTGTCAGCCAGCACCAACCTGGAGCCATCTTGGAAATAGATCCCCCAGCCTCATTCAAACCAACTTCACTAGGGCATATGAAGCAGAGATAAGCTGCCCCACTGAGCCCTGCCCAAGTAGCAAAAATGATTATTGCTTTAAGTTACTAAATTTTGGAGTTGTGTATTACATATCAATTGATAAATAAAACAACTTGCATTAATACTGGGATATGAAGATACCATCCACGTGGCACAAACTTCAAGGAATTTCTCCCACATGGTATATATGGAACCAGATCAAAGGAGGCCATGTAGGGCTTGCTCCTAATTCCTTTCCTGAGGAAGGAGTGCGGGTCTTCAGAGAGTAGAGGAAAATCTGATGGAATGCTTCACACAAAACCTTTAGGATTTTGGTTGGGGGTGCACAAATATAGATTACTTTGGAGTGAATTGTCATCTTTGTCATACTGAGTCTTACTGTTTGGGAACATCATAGTGTCACTTGATTTACTCAAGTGTGTGTGTGTGTGTG